TCTGACATTAAAGAACAGTTAACAATTTCCAGTGCGTCAGCTTTCAGGCAGCTAAAAATTTTTTAAAGAAGTTTGTAGGCAGCAAAGCAATCAGAACAAATCTAAAACAGTCAGAAGCAGCAACATTGATCAGAAACTATTGATTACCATGAATTATTGAAGGTAGATACTGGAAGGTAGTGAGCTTCAGTGGTTTCTGCAGCTCATTCCAGTCATTGGAAGCAGCAAACTGGAATGAGGAGCGGCCAAAGGAGGTGCGAGCTTTGGGAATAAACATAGAAATTAAGTTACTGGAACGTAAATGGTGCTGGTTGTTGGAAGTGATGAGTATTGAGAGAACATATGACGGTAATACCGATGATGGTTTTGTATATGAACTGATACCGATGTAATATCCTGCAGGAACGGAGCGAGGGCCAGTTAATGAGTGAGTACAGATCACGATGAGTTGTGAAGGGGGCATCAGCGACCAAACGGGTTGCTGAGTGATAAATGACATCGAGTTTATGAAGAAGTGTTTAGAAGCAGTCCAATAAATGATGTCACCGTAATCTAAGATGCAGGACTATGTTGGTCAAGGGTTGCTTTGCAAAATGAGTAAAGATGGTTTTTGAGGCATCTGAATAAGAATTAAAAGAAACTATGATTATGTTTATTTATTTGGCAGTCACTTTTATCCAAAGCGACTTACAATTTATAAACTATAGGGCATGTTGTGATCTGTGGGGGAAACCGGAGTACCCGGAGGAAACCCACGCATGCATGAGGGGAACACACAACTCCACGCAGAAAGGCCGCAGCCGAGTTTTGAACCTGCAACCTTCATGCTGCGAGGCAACAGCGCTAACCACTGCGCCACCATGCAGCCCATTTTTAGGATTAGGATGGATCAAAATATCACTTACGACCTAGGCTATATGATCAGCATGGAGACAAACTCCTGTTCTCCACCAGTCTACACTGAGGTATTTTGTACATTTGTTTTTAATATAGGGCTATTTAAGTAGGTACTCTAACCTTGTCCAAAGAATTAGTCAGTTGTAAAAATACCAGTGAAATACAACTAGTAGCGTTTTTTTCCTATCAAACCTTTTTTTATTTCATGCAAAGACTGCTGTCTTGTTCGTCTGTTATAAAAATATTGATGGACATGCAGATTGTTCTAATGTTGTTTTCAATAGTTTTTCTTTTAAAAAAAGTTCTCACAGGTGCCTGCTGGGGTTCGACTCCTGGAGATGTGCCAGGTTTTTTTCTAATGGAATCTTAAAATTTATAAAAGAAACGTAACTGAAAAATTAAAGTAGATTACTGTACAAGTATAACAAATTTAGAACATTTAATAACAAGGAGGCGTGTTTTTTTTGTTTGCAGAACTTTATTGAGCATTTACACACAAAAGGCACAGCCATTTGAAATATATTTTCAAGCGTTTTCTCTGATTTTACCTGCACAAACAAAGCACTAAAAAAGTAGAGTATTTTTGTCTGTTTGGGTGCAGTCCCGGGGGTACGGTGACGTCACCGCACCCAAATAAAACATCTGAAAAAATATCTAAGGAACCATGAAAGCACAAATGATGATTTTTACCTGCACAAATCAGCACTAAAAAATGAGACCCTAACCCTAAAAAAATCAGATTTTTTTTAAGCAACATAAAATGATTTGATTGCTGGTGAAGCATTACATCCAACTATTAAATAATTGGCCAGTCTTATTCCATCTGAAATATCTTTTTATTTTTTTGGCGAGTTACTTTACGTACACACATAAACAGTGGTGGTACACGGCTCCTCTATCCAATGTAGGACAGAAATAACAGCATGTTATTTCTGCAGCCAGGATTTTAAATCTACAAGTGTTGGAGGAGCTGCCAGACATTCATTTTCTTGGGTCTGCAGAGAAAAGCACAAAGTTAAAAACACTTTTCTATAATGTGTAGTTAGGACAGTAATGTTCTGCAGAAAACAGTTTTGTTTATACAGTAACGGCTTTATCTCTTTCAGGCCCCCCCCCCCCCCCCCCCCCCCCCGGGTAAAGGCCAGATCAAATTTAAAACATCTTTAGACTGACCTTAAAAACCGTTATCGTGCATTAAAAGGTAACTCAATCCAGAGTTTCAGGCCTTCCACGGAGAAAGCCCCATCTCCTCTCTCTTTGAACGAGACCTAGGAACTGAGTAGGAAACTGTTGTCTGAGCAGAGTGCCAGTGCCGGTGTACATGAATGTATTGGTGTCTGCAAATATGTAGGAGCCAGTCCATTTACGATTTAAAAGCCAATAAAAAGGACTTTAAAATGGGAGCGAGCTTGTAGTGAGCGCACACGTTTTTGCAGCTTGCGGCGCGCAGCGTAGCGGTAGGAGAAACAGGTTTCAACCATCGACATATATACATCAGAACCGACCGGAATACCGATGTAACATCGGTGCAAAGATGTACGGTTTTTGATTAGCAGCAGGACAGGGCACACACAGCGAGAAATGTGGAGGGAGCGGACTGATAGTAACGTTTTTGAACTAAACTGCGGTAAAGGGTGGGTGTTTTATTCTCCTCATTATAAAAGGCGTGTAAGTGTAATTAGATGCCAAATTGCACACTTGCTACGCAAAATGCGTACAGGTTTGCAGGTCTGGTGTTGGTATGACTAAAGACGTGAATGAAACCTACCTTTGTGTCGTCCTTGACTCCTCCACACCACGATCCAAGGCTTCTGCCTGTTCAGCAGGCTCCTTAATAATAAAAATAAAAAGACCATTTGGTCGGTGAAGAACCATAAGGCCCTGCCTGTTCAGCAGGCCCTTGACTAAAAAATTCCTGAAGAAATTTTGAAAAGGGCCTGCCATTTGGCGCAAGATGCTGGCAATGTGGTGAGAAGCCAGGTAGCTGTTGCTCACCTTGACACTAGATAACCAAGCGATTGCTCATATACAAACTCATACATCACTTCTCAATTGGTGTAAACACAAAAGTTAGCCCCTCGGCGTTAGCTAAGCTATCCATCCATCTTCTGAACCTGCTTTGTCCAGGTTGGGGGTGGGGGGGAAGGGGTGCTGGTGGCTATCTCCAGCGGTCAATGGGCAATCAGGTGGGGTACACCCTGGAGAGAGCCAGTCCATCGCAGGGCCGTTAGCTAAGCTACCGAATTCCTAAACACAGCAACTGTACTGTCACCTTGTTGCCTACTAGGAATAAACCCAGACAGTAGCTCCAACATTAGCTCATAAGCAGGCTCCAAGGATGGAGAAAAACACCCAACTTGACTAGAGCACACCATGCAAGTAAGCACCCAAGTAAATCCACTAGCTGTGTACCTAGCTTTAAATCTGCTAGCAGCACAGCTAACCGCCATCTGTGGCACTATGCATGGCATGAAAACCCATCGCTGACCAAAGTGCGCCATGGAGTGATTGTCTAGACTACACCATGGAGTGATTGTCTAGAGCGCCATGGAGTGATTGTCTAGACTGCGCCATGGAGTGATTGTCTAGACTGCGCCACGGAGTGATTGTCTAGACTGCGCCATGGAGTGATTGTCTAGACTGTGCCATGGAGTGATTGTCTAGACTGCGCCATGGAGTGATTGTCTAGACTGTGCCATGGAGTGATTGTCTAGACTGCGCCATGGAGTGATTGTCTGTCGAATATCCAATGTCCAACTAACTTGACCGCCATGCACGATAGCTATAGTTCACCTCAACGCTAGCTAAACAAACATTTACTCATTTAGAGACCCAGACATTACTAACCAAACAATTGGTCTGAACACTGAATAGTCAGACATGACAGGGTGAAAATGGTGAGACCCCCCCCCCCCCCCCCACCCTCGGAGACTCAACATTGGAGAAAGTAGCCACTGCTTTCATCAGCTGTAAGCTTGGAATATCTGGCTTTGCATGTAATAAGTCAGTCTCACAGATTTGTTTCACTGTTGAATTACTCAAATAAACGAACTTTTACACTGTATTCTCAATTTTTGACTTTCACCTGTAATTTGAATGAAGATTAAATACAAAAATATTAAGATGTAAATCCAGTTAGAGCTCAAATTTAAAAGTTTAAACTCCACAATTATTAATAATTTGGGCAACAAGAACAAAGCTGCAGCTGCTGCTACCACTGTGGGCCAGCGGTGGCACTAATTCTCCACCTGTAGCTGCCAAGGAAAAGGGGACCTAACATGCCTCAGCCAATCATATTCACAAAGCTTCAGTAAGAGCCTAGCAGCCACAGCTAGCAGCGTGTTACCATGGTGAATGGGAGGGGCTTCAGGTTAGACACTGTGTTGCTGAATTTGGGATAGTTAAATCGGGATTTTCAGACAGCCTGGATTTTGGGATTGGCTCGCTACAGGAAATACCCACCAGATCAACGTGTGGTGTGCCGCAAGGCTGTTTGGGGGAGAATGCTACTTTTTCTTTTTAAACTAGAATAAAATAGATCTTTATCCTAAGATGGGGAAATTCACTAGTTAAGGCAGCACATACACTTAGGAAATAATACAGAAAATACAGACAGTAGGCTATTATTGTAACTTAAAGCTATTAAACATTTGAGGCATCAATAGCTCAAGAGGTAGCGCGGGTTGCTTCATGATTGGAGGGCCATGGGACCCAGTCCAGCTCCCACCAGGCATATTCTACTGTTGAGTCCTTGGGCAAGGCACTTCACCTGGCCTGCCTGTTGGTGGTGGTCAGAGAGGCTGATGGTGCGAAATACTAAGCCTTTTTGCCAGTAGATAAATGATGCTCAGTTTTGAGATTTTAGTTATTTTTGTGTAAAGCACTTTGGTCAGTCGTAAGGTTATTGCACACTTTGATAATTACCCAAACCCATCTAGACCCATAGGTGATCCAGGATCCATGTCCTCTTCAGTTCCTCATTAGCTCCTATCAGCAGAACTGTGGTTTACATTGTTTTTACCTTCAGACCCTAACCCGTGCTTCAGAAGTTAAACCTGTCACCCAACGCACACGCCAACACAGACAGAACATAAGACAAGAACCTCTAGCAGTGATGTTTATTACAACTCATGTTAGACATGCTTTTACATGGACAAGCACCATCATACATCGGTCATCTTCTCAGTCCCTACACCTCCAGCAGGTCCCTGAGGTCCAGTGACCAAAGCCTACTGGTTGTGCAGCACAAGGCTAAAGGTCAAAGGTGACAGATCATCTGCTGCTGTGGCCCTGACTCTGGACCTCTCTCCCCCTGAGCCTGAGATCAGTTGACTCAGTGGTCTCCTTTAAACTCACCTGCTCAGGCTTTGGTGGGACTTTCATCACCTCCCTCTCCTGGTTCTGCTCTCCCCGGGATCCACTGGTTTCCCTCTTTCCTTTTCCTTACATTTTTTAATCACAAATTTTATCTCATTTTAAATATTTTTTAGTCATAAAAAAAAATCTTTTTATATTTTAATTTTTTTGTTTTTGTGAATCAAAGATGGTTTTCTTTCTTTCTTAGTTACAGGATAAATAAACAGCTACAGAGCTGATGGACCACAGCGCTGGACTGATCTGGTTTAGCCATCAGAACTACTGGTTTGGACCCTGAACATCTGCCACAGCTCTGGATCGGTTCTTTTCTTGTTTAGACGACAGTTATGATAGGGAAATCTAAATCTTTGGTTATTCTTCATCAGCATGTGCTACCCAGGGTTTGGTCCTCACACTGGCTTTAGTTGGTGCATCTCCGGTCCTGGAGATCCACGACCAAGCATGTTTTAACTGTTCTCCTGACTCAGCTATCACCTGTTCAACACTCTGAAGAAGCCTGTTAATCACCTATTGGTTATAATCAAGTGTGTTGAAGCAGGGAATCAACTAAAACATGCTGGCTGGTGGATCTCCAGGACCAGGACTGGTTATCCCTGGTGCATCCTAACAGCTAACTGCCTAGGTCATAGGAGAGCAGAGAATGCCCTTCAACTGAACACCACCACCAGAAGTTCTCATCTAAACTTCACTCTCATTTGACCCACGTGTCAAAACGTTCTGCTGATAAACTTTAGTGAACACAGAGCCAGAACCTCCAGGTGCCACCATGTTGCATCATGGTTCTGTTTAAGGTTCAGGAGCCTCATTTCTACAGCTGCTTACGCACAAAACTAGGTCTGAAAATGGTGTTGATTAGTGATTTATAAAGAAAAACATATCGAGAACATGTGGAAACAATTAATCAGGTCCTGGTCTGGAAGTTCTCAAGTCATGTCGCCACCAGGAATGATCCGGACCAACCCATTCTGAGGACTCGTACATTTGGAGCACTTTGATGTGGTCATGACCTTCTCACTGGATCTAACAGAGAGCAGAGAGTGAAGCTGGAGGACTCCGACAGCAGCATTTAGGATGAGCTGGAGGCCTCTGAAGCTCAGACCACACTGTTTATCAGCTGTTGCACAGGACTGATAAAAGATAAAGCGCTGCCCTCAACACGTCTTTTACTCTTAACCAAGCTCCAGAAGGAGCACTACGCATGTGCCTGCGTGTAGCTTCTACTGCTGCTTACGCTGCTACTTCTACAGGAGTTGGAGGTTTTCAAGCAGCACTTGAAGGCTGCTGGAGGCTGACGTTGGTTGTGCGGAAGCTTGATGAGATGTGGCAGAGCCACTGGACGTCCAGACTCACCCTCATGTTCACGATGAGGGATTAGACGGCCTGCGTGGTCCGGGCTTAAGAGACCTACAGAAGATGGTTTATTGGCAGTACTTTGGGCCAGGATGCTCCTGATCTTAGCCCTGCTGCAGGTAAACAAGCGTAGTGTTAAATAAAGGTTGGATCGCTGAGCTAAAGATGGTGCAGTGTTAGAAACCACAGATTAGTGCATCTCTCTGTTCATTAGTTAGGAAACAGCAGAAGTGGGGTTACAGTCTCGCCCCGCGGGCCGGTGTTCCATGAACCTCTTCAGGTGGTAGCGCAGGACTCCTTTGGTCTTGAAGGTCTTGCCACAGCTGCAGGCGTGTGGCCGCTCACCAGTATGGTCCAGCTGGTGAACACGCAGCAGTGAGCTGGTCAGGAAGAACTCACCACAGGTGATGCAGTAGTGGCTCTTCTCCCCGGTGTGTCTGGACCTCTGGTGGCTCAGCAGAGAGCCTGACGTGATGAAGCTCTGGCCGCAGTCGCGGCAGCTGAAGGGCCGCTCTCCAGTGTGGATCCTCTCGTGTGCCCTCCAAGAGTTGTGGTAGGAGAAGGACTTATGGCAGTAGGAGCACTGGTAGTGTTTCTCTTTGGTGTGGCTGAGCCGGTGAATCTTCAGGTAGTGAGCTATGGTGAAGCTCTTGCCACAGTCATCACAGCTGAACGGCTTCTCCCCTACGTGAAACAGCGTGATGTGGGATCTCAGGTGGGACGACTGGGTGAACCTCTTGCCACAGGTGGTGCAGAGGAAAGGCCTCTCTCCCGTGTGGGTCACCATGTGAGCTTTGAGGTGGGGCGACTGCGTGAACCTCTTGCCACACTCGGAGCACTTATAGGGCTTCAGGCCAGTGTGGGTGCGGTCATGCAGCTTCAGGCCCTGCAGGCTGGAGAAGCTCTTACCACACTCGGTACAACGATACGCCCTCAGGTCTGTGTGGGTGCGCTGATGGCAGTGAAGGCCGGTTGGCAGCTTGAAGGCCTTCCCACAGGTGGCGCAGATGTAGGGTTTGCTGTCCGAGTGGGTGGCCTGGTGCAGCTTCAGGCTCTGGGGGTTGCTGAAGCTTTTGGAGCACTTGGGGCAGGGCAGAGGCTTGGGGTCCTTGTGAGACTTGCGGTGGAAGTTGAAGCCCTGGTAGGACACAAACATTTTGTCACAGACTGTGCAGTGGTAGCATTTTTCCCCCTGATGCATCTCCATGTGCTCACTTAGTTGTTCCTGCTCGCTGAAACCATCCCCACAGAACCAGCACTTCAAAGGTTTGGTGCCTGAGTGGGTCCGGTGGTGGGTCTTCCAGTCCCGTTTCAGGGAGAAGGTCCTGTCGCAGTAGGAGCAGTGGTATGGTTCACTACGGTCATGGACCTGCTGGTGCAGCACGAGGCTCATCAGGGTGGGGTAGATCTTCCCGCACCGCCAGCACTCGTTAGGTTTCTGACCTTGGTGGGTCCGCAGGTGAGCCTCCAGGTGAGACGCCTTATAGAAACCCTTCTCACAATGGCTGCAGTACGACATCTTCCTGCCACTGTTGGTGGTGCGTTGTTGCTGCAGGGCCTCACACAGCTGAGGGTGATCACCTGTGGGTACCAGAGGTCACGTTACTCAGCCTGCATAGTCTACACGCCGCTGCTCGATTCTGTTACAACATCCACAACCAGAAAAACTTCAGTCTGAAGCTCACCCAGCGACAGGAAGTCCCGCCCCTTCAGCCACGCCCTACAGTCGGACAATTTGACGGACAGCTTCTTCAGGGCGGGGTAAGAGCAGATCTCCACCTCCTCCTCGGGCTCTGGTTTGACCCGGACAGCCGAATCCTGAAATGACACATTCCCTTAGTGAGATACACTTCTTCTGGTACCGCCTCTACGCACGCGCATTTCCCCAAAGTAGCACATATCGACGGGTAACACAGATATCAGAACACCGGGATGCAATGCGAGAAACACAGTGACGTCACAAAAGATCCCCCTATAGTTGTCTTCATCAACTACGTTCATCAACACACCCACATCACCCCGCTTCTCCTCCAGCTTCACTGGCTGCCAGTCAACTTCAGGGTTCATTTCAAGATCCTGGTTCTGGTCTATAGTAGGGTTGTCACGGTGTGAAAATTTAACCTCACGGTTATTGTGACCAAAATTATCACGGTTTTCGGTATTATCTCGGTATTTTTTTTAAACGTGCTACATTTTCACACAATTAAATAAACCCAGTATGTCAGTAAATATTGTCCTCAGTTTGTGTCTAAATTTTGCCTAAAATGTGTTATTTTGTAATTATGTTATTTGTTTACATTTTTCCCTTTAGTCTTTAAAATACCAATATTTGCCCATAACTTCTTATTTTATGTCTGTTTGATGACATCATTTTATAATTATTAGATCAGATGATACTCAGTACTCAAGTAGCCTTCTAATCAGATAGTTTTTTTTTACCCTTACTTGAGTAATAAACTAGCCTAGTGAACTAGACCAAATTCTTGCTTTGCAAAGTTTGGTCTAGACATGCTCCATTGGAACCTTAGCAGCTCCTACCAGGACTCTGGCTAGCCAATCACAGCTCTCTAGAGGGGTTTCAAACACATAAAGAGCTGTGATTGGTCCATAATGGTGGGCCAATCATAGTGCTCTATGAGCTTAGTGAGCAAATCACAGAGCTTTATCTGCTTTGTGGGCCATTCAGGGCACTCTATATGCCTGGTGGGTGGGATGATGCAACAGAGTGAAACAAGAGTATGTCACATTCATTGTCCAGTGGAATGCAGAGATCATTTGAAAGACAACGGTAGAACCCGCCCCACAACCGAGAGCCGTCAACGGAGCATGGCCAGACTAAATAATACATTTATTTAGTCTGGCTTGCCAGGCTAGTAATAAACCCTATATCAGGAAAATATTGTCCTCGGTTTGTGTTCCAGTGAGCTTTGCAGATGTGGGAAAATGTCATCAGGCAGTAATCATTGTTAAATTCATAATTATTCTCGGAGAGAGACCAACTCTTATCTGCCCCTGGGAGCCCCGTAATGCATAGCGTCATTTCAATATGGGGGTAACCGCGACACGGTTTATATGCAGGTAGCGGCGCTGCGGCTGCTTTATATAGCGACTCGTTGCATTCTCCCTCAACCCAAATCCTTGGATCACGCATTTTAGCTAAAATCTAACGTTAGCTTGCCTTGCGTTGACTGTAGTTGTGGGTGATGGTCACGCAGATGTGTCATGAGATTTGAAGCGTTGCTGCCTTTCACAGACACTTTTTCAGCACGTGCTGCAAACAGGACAGCCGTCTTCTATAAATTGTCCCTCGGCATTCTTTGCTTTTCAGTCCATCGGTCCCAGCGTGCTCTCTATAATTAATGCTTCTCTGGTCTCTGGTCAGGTCCCTGCTTACTTTAATAATGCTGTAATCCACCCGCTTCTTAAAAAACCCGAGTCTTGACGCCTCTCTCCATAGTAGCTTCAGACCATCTCTAAACTTCCATTCATCTCCAAGATCTTGGAAAAGGTTGTGGCTGAACAACTCACAGCTGCTCTTGATGAACATAACATCTATGATAGCTTCCAGTCAGGTTTTCGTAGAGCTCATTCTACTGAAACAGCTCTTCTTAGGGTCTCTAATGACCTTCTGACACACAGTGATGCAGGGGACTGTTCTGTTCTGATCCTGCTGGACCTGAATGCAGCCTTTGACACTGTTGACCATCACCTGCTACTGGAGAGGCTCAGATACTGGGTAGGCCTATCAGGATTTGCCTTTGGGGGGGGGGGGGGGGGCATTCAGGGAAAAGTCATGGGCTTGTGACTATAACCTAATTTAAGTTACTGGTTTGCAGTGTAACTGCCTTTGTACTTCAATATGCATATTTGTTCATTTAATAAAAAACGGCCACTTTGAGATTTATACCCAAGTCTTTTTTTAAACTATTTAGAAGAGCCCGTCCTTGCACAGTCACAAAAGTAACTAAGTAACTTTTACTCTGACTACATTTGAAATAAGCTACTTTTTACTTTTACTTGAGTACATTTTGAGGCAGGTAATTTTACTTGTAATTGAGTAAAATTTCATGAAATTATACTTGTACTTAAGTACAACTTTTTAGTACTCTTTCCACCTCTGCCCACCTATTCCACCTTCCTCAGGATCCACTGACCTCCCTCTTTCCTATTCACTCTCTCTCTAACATTTTTAATCACAATTCTTTTTTTTTTTTTTTTGTTGTTGCTCATTTTAACCATTTTTAACCATTTTCTAAATTCTTTTTAATATTTTTACGTTTTTTTGTTTTTATGAAGCGCCTCGTGATTTTTATCTTGAGGCGCTATAGAAATATTTTCTTCTTCCAAGGCTTGTGTAAAGCCGGGCTAACGGTCACCAAACTCCATTCACAATACGAGCATTTTAGCGTTCGGCTCTTGTACGGAATGAACCTAGCGAATCCAGTTCTGCGACCGTGCTCAGACCAAACCGTCCGTTCCGTAGGCTGGGTACCATCAAACCGAGCAAAGCACGAGCTGCTATTGCTCAGCTTAAGTTAAGTGAACACAGGGACGTAGACGATCCAAGCCTCTTAAACGCTGCGTTTCTTCTATACAGTTTGGCGGAAACGGCTAGCTCCACCCCGTGCGGTGCTGCCTGAGTCCGGCGGTCCGGTCCCGGTTCAACTGCTCGCTTACCGGTAAAGGCTCAGCCTGCATCGCTCTGGTCCCGCTCCTGGTCTCAACTGTCACGATTAGACCGAACCTCTGCCGAACTTTGCTGACCCGATCTGCTGGCTGGAGCGAGCTATTTACTTCCGGGGGACAGGGTCAATCTTTCTTAAACACACACACGCTTGTATTTCTATCATGGTGAGGACCATCCATTGACAACCATTAATTTTTTTGACTACTATGCTTAATCCATACCCTAACCGTAACCAGTGCGGATTTATTCCTAACCTTAACAAAAACGTCATTCAAATGTATTTATTTAACTTAATTCAAATGTATTTTTTATTTTATTATTTTACTGTAGTATTTTAAAGATATACTCTGTTAAATAACCTCAGCATAATAGTGTTTTGTGTAAAAATATTTGGCAATTTTTAAATCCCAAATCATGAGAGCAAATGTCTCTTTTGATTATAATTAGAACCATCTGAAGAACAAATACAATTTATGCTGCAAGCAGCGTCGTGTTTGGCCCTTGCTGCTGCCCAGAGCACCTGGGCATGTCTGTGGCACAGAAACTTCGACCCCCGCGACTGCAAATGGTAACCTGAACTGCGCCTCACCCTGACTCAGCATCTTCTCTGAGCCTGCCATTAAAAAATGCTTCTCAACACTAGAGGATGCTCTATATTTACCACACTGGTGGTGTGATGACACAGACCAAGTTTAATGCTATTCTGACCTGGTTCTTTCAAGTTATTGAAGGCTGAAATTACCTAGGGGGCGCTGTGACCAATTACATCAAAATCCCATTGCGGTCTCCTTTCGTTGACAAAGATGGTTTTGTGTTAGTTTGGCATCATTCAATAGTTGTGTGTGTTATCTAGAACCAAAGAGCTGAAAGAGGGTGGAGCTAAAGGGATTTGAACAAACAACCACATAAATCTGTTTGGTGCAGTTATGAGATGAAACAAGCCAAGTTTGATGCCATTCTGATATTGTCCTTAGAAGGTATTAAAGTTTGAACTTATCTAGGGGGCGCTGTGACCAATTACAATTAAATTCCATCTTTGGTCATCAAAGATGGCTTTCTGTTAATCTGGCATCAATCAGACGTTTCATGGGTCATCTAGAGCCAAAAGGCTGTAAGTGGGCAGAGTTAATGTGATTTGAATCATTGAGCATTTAAATGTGTTGACTGAGGTTGCGTGAGGATTCCCACCATGTTTGATATAGTTTGGAGCTTTTTTTAGAAGTTAATAATGTTTTATTTTATCTAGGGGGCGCTGTCCCAAATTTACAAAAATATCCCATGGAGCAGTTTGTAGGTTGACAATCATTTGTGTGTAGTTTGGTGTGAATTGCATCATGCATGTGTTCCTCAGGGCCTACCATCTGTCAGGGGGCAGAGCTAAAGCTATATCAGCCAATGACCACAGGATTGTATTGGGTGCCTTAGTGTGAGGACACATAACGAGTTTGGGGCAGTTGCGACCTCATCTAGGGGGGCGCTGTAGTGATATTAGACAATGTTAACCAACCATTTGTGCCCGTTTGGTTAAAGGGCAGGATTGTTGCTCTCCGTGTTCATTCTTGTGCAGATTGGAGGCTGTTTGTGGAAGTTACAGTCAAGCGTAAGGTAACGGCGTCACGCCAGAATTCGCCATGGCATCAAAGCCCCTCCCTTTCTGGAAAGGTATCAGAGCTGAAGTGGTCATGACACCTCCATGAACTCAGTGCATGACCTTAGTGTCATGTTGACTAAATTAGAGGGGACAGATATGGGCATTTCAACATAAAACAATAGATTTCCTGTTGTCAGGGTGCAGGGCTTAAGTGATGTCAGCTGTCCACATTGTTATTGTCTTGAGACGTGGTCCGTGATCACACAGACAACGGTTGATATAGATCTGATCATGCACATGGAAGTTATTACACCAAGGAATGTAAGTAATGGCGAAAGGTCAATGTTTGAGGGTTAGCCACGCCAACACCATTCAACTTTTGAAAAATCCGCAGGTTGAACTTTTGGCCATGGTCTTAAGAGTGTACAGCAGAAATTTGAAGGTGATAGGTCAAAAGGCTGATACATGTGTGCATAAGAGAGAAAATGGAGTCATGTGACCAAAATGGCCGACCATCATAAATGGGAGTCTCAGTTCCTGTGTGATATAGAGCATGGCTTCATGAGACATTTTTGTAGGTCCTGAGACCCTTAATAACTGTACCAAATTTCATAATCCTCACTGAAAGCATGGCTAGGGGCTGACAGTTTTAATGGTCCTAGGGGGTGCTATTTCAGAAAATAGGCCACGCCCACCAGATTCTCACATCAAGTTTTTTGGGGGACTGTACTAGGATTACTGGGGGGGTGTACTAGGGGGTCCCACAGGGATCGATCCTTGGTCCTCATTTGTTTGCCATTTATCTGCTTCCTCTGGGGTCAATCTTTCGTAAACATGGCCTATCATTCCATCTCTATGCTGAAGATTGCTAGCCTAGTGGACTAGACCAAATTCTTGCTTTGCAAAGTTTGGTCTAGGCACGCTCCATTGGAACCTCCGCAGCTCCTACCAGGACTCTGGCTAGCCAATCACAGCTCTCTAGAGGGGTTTCAAACACTTAAAGAGCTGTGATTGGTCCATAATGGTGGGCCAATCATAGTGCTCTATCTGCTTAGTGAACAAATCACAGAGCTTTATCTGCTTTGTGGGCCAATCGGGGCACTCTATATGCCTGGTGGGTGGGATGATGCAACTGAGAGAAACAAGAGTATGTCACATTCATTGTCCAGTAGCATGCGGAGATCATTTGAAAGACAACGGTAGAACCCGCCCCGCAACCGAGAGCCGTCAATGGAGCGTGGCCACTAAATAATACATTTATTTAGTCTGGCTTGCCAGGCTAGAAGATTGCCAGATTTACTCTCCATTGTGTCAGGAGAAAGGTCACTCTATCCAGTCCTTTGTGTCCTGCATTAACGAGGTGAAGTCTTGGCTAATGGCCAACGTTCTGCATCTGAATGAGGGAAAGACAGAGCTCATTGTTTTTCACCCCAACAGCAGGAATGTGGATCGTCATGTTGATCTTGGCCCTCTTTCTCCCTACTCAAAACCAGTTGTCACTAGTTTGGGGGTGAAAATTGATGCTGGACTTAAATTTGATGCTCACATCATCTCTGTGATCCGGTCCAGTTTCTTTCACCTGAGACGCCTTGCAAAAATCAAGCCTATGCTGTCAAGAGCCCACCTGGAGAGGGTACTCCATGCTTTTGTAATTTCTAGGCTTGATTACTGCAGCTCTCTATATGCAGGGTTGTGTCAGTCATCACTGCATCGCCTACAGGTTGTGCAGAACAGCGCAGCCAGGTTCCTGACTGGGACTAGGAAACGGGACCACATCAGTCTGGTTCTGGCCTCCCTGCACTGGCTTCGGGTTTGCTATCGTTCACAATACAAACTCCTCGTCTTTGTTTTTAATTTCTTCCAGGGTGGTGCTCCCCCCTATATGGCCACGCTCCTGAACAGACATTCCCCATCACGCGCTCTGCGCTCCTCTGACCAAGGCCTGCTCGCTGTCCCTCGTTCTAGGTGTCATACTCGCGGGGACCGGGCTTTCTCAGTCCTAGCACCATCACTCTGGAACCAGTTGCCACCCTCAGTTAGGCTGTCCCCATCTCTGTCAGTCTTCAAGAGTCGCCTAAAAACCCACCTCCTCCGCTTGGCGTTTCCTTAATGTGTTTGAATTAGGCCCTCTTTTATGTTGATTTTATTTCACAGTTTTCATTGGTTCACTCTATCCCTTGTTTTACACATTTGTCCTGTACTAGAATGTTTCACCTTTTTTTGTAATTTGTAATCTTTAATTTGAATTGCTTTTATTTTCTGATTTATTCACTATATTTAACTTTCTACTGTACCATGTTCAGCGCCTTGGGCTTCCTGACAGGGTTGCGGAAGGCGCTTTATAAATAAAGCTTTGATTGATTGATAGGATTGCTCACCAGAAATTTTGTGGAGGTATCTTGAGAAATGACGAAATGGGAGGCAAACATATGGCCACAGCGATACGCCTGACTTCGTTGTGCCACCACGGCCCCGCCCTCTTTCGAAAACTCCCATAAAATGATGACAAGCAACCCCCGTTTGTCTTCAGTTACCCGCTACAAATTTGTGACAATTAAGTGAAATGGGGTGATTTGGGACCTATTAAAGTAAAATTAGACTTGTTTGGTCATGAGGGGGCGGGGCTTGTGTGATGTCATCATTCGACCATTCATTTTTCTCTGAGGGTAAATGATGAATGATCACACAAAATTTTGTAACTATTCCTTTCGATTATGAAGTTATAGCCATTTATATTTTTTTGGTGAGTAGTCGAATTTTGATGTCTGGCCCTGCCCCTTCAACATATACAAAAACTCAGTATCTTAGTTCCATTTTGATCTGCAGTAACTGCAGATAATTTGAGAGTATTGTGCGAAAAATGACCGAGTAATTCAATCAAAAGCTGACCCTATAAATGACCAAAACAGGGTAAAAATAGCATTTTCGATCCAATAAGGCCAACTTCCTGCTGATTTTACAACCTATATGCAAGAGACTTTTTTGTGAGGCGGTGTGTTCCTTCTCAGCAGCAGCACTGCAGGTGCTCTCCATTTCCAAAATGTGTGTAAGCCAGGTCCTTAGTCAACCTAATGTTGTGCACATTTTTCCACTAAGTTTTATTTCATAAATCCCAAGGTTTGCGTGGAAAGTTGCTTACGCAGTTTTCCGACCCCGTTTTGTGCGTAAACAAGCTTGATAAATGAGGCCCCAGGTGAGTCTGGATGAGTTCAGGTGAGTCTTATTGAGGGCCTTGTCTGAAGTTGTGATGAAAGATGAATTTGAATGAAGGTATTTTAATTTTACTTTAAATAAAAGACGGGTGGAGTCATTAGCCCTACCCACAAGGTGACTGGGTTTGGTCACCCCCTGATCAGTCTTGCTCACCCATTTTAAATGAAAAAAAAAAACTGATTTCTTCGTTCATCTATTTTACTTAGGGTCTACTGGATGTTTCTCAATGTTTTATCATTTTATTTTAACTGGTTGTCTGTGTACAGCACTTTGTGGAAATGTGCTTTATAAATAAACTTGACATTCTGCACTGTAACTGTTTCTTTTTCATGTTTAACTTGTATTTTCTGTCACGTTGACCCTACTGTTCCTGCTATTCTTGCTAATGGGAAAGCCCATCCAAATGCCTCTGTGTGTGTGAAATGTGCTCTAAAATTAAGCTGCCTTGCCTTGAATAAGTACCTGGGTGCTCACTTGAACAACAAACTGGGTAGGAGCCACAACACTGATGCAGGAAAGATCAGACCAGACTCGACCTGCTGAGGAGACTGAGGTCCACTGGAGTGCAGGAGGTGCTCCTAAAGATGTTCTCTGACTCAGTTGTGGCATCAGCCATCTTTGATGGTGTGGGTTTTTTGGGCAGCAGCTCATCTGCTGCTGAGAAACAGAGACTAGGTAAACTCATTAAGGTCAGCTCTGACCCAGGATGTCCCTTTAACCCAGCGCAGGAGGTGGGAGATGGACATGCATGAAGCTGTGGTGGAACTGGAGAGCTCCTTCAGTAGCAAACTGCTGCATCTCAGTATCCTGGCCTGCCAGACCCTCCTCCGGTTAGTTCTGCACAAAGTCTGGTTCCTCACAGGCAGAAAGGCCCATGAGGGGCGGGACTAGCCAGCTCAAAAATAACCAATCAGACAAAGGGTGGAAATGCCAACTGTACCGCGCAACGCTGTAGTCAAAAATGGCGTCTAGCGACGGCGCAGACATCTTTCTTTAGCAGAAAGGCTTTTAACTCTTCTACTTGTTGTGGTTTTAAAGACATTCACGTCATTTAGAACAGAGGAAAGAGCCGTCTTCATTGCTTGTGAGAAACTCGGCGTTGCGGAGTGTGACGTACGCTGCTCAGCGCTGATTGGCTCGGCTAGTATTCTCAGGGGGTGGGGTTGATTGAACAGAAGAGTCCCCATATGGAAGCATGGGGCTGGCTGGTCAGGATAGCATCCTAGGAGCAGGAAGGAATGTTGTGGTAACTCCTTCCTTCCAGCAGCTGTTAGGCTACAGAACCACCACTGCTCCCAACCGCACCACAAACCATCTCATTATAGCTGCTGTTGTAATATTTTCTGTCATTCTACCTAAATATTGCATGTGCACACTTCCTCATTCACAGTAACCATTCCCTGTAAATCCCATCCTCCCTATTCCCGAACCGGCTCACGTAGAAACAATGTGAGCAACATCTGCTGAGGCACCAGAAGCAGCACATGGCCATTGGTTTGCACGGTTTGGTTTCTTGTAGTAGTTTCATTTTTTTATTATTTAAAGTGGATGAATGTCCTCAAGCGGCTCAGGAACATGTTGGTTAACCCCAACCCTGACCCTGACTGGGTTTAGGACCAGAGGTGACTGGGCTTTTCAGGCAGTGGTCCCTGATGTGGAAGCTAACAACGTAGCTTAAATGCTACATTGTTTTGCTACGTTGTTGGCTGTGGCCAGACCTAACGTGGTCCTCCGCCCCGCTGGTGCAGTAGGAAGGGATCGTAACTTGGTTGGCTTGAGCGGTGACAGCTGGTGCTCACACAAGGACTCACGGGGCTGGGAATAAGGTAGATGAAACATCTTTTATCCACAAGGTATTTCTACATTTTTAGATTTTATTAGTAAAATGTGAATTTATTCAGCCTTTTTGAATTTTTAACATTTGTATATTTTTGAATTACAAGTATTTCTGTGTTTTTACTCTTTAGGGGTTTACTCTCCTGGCTTGCTCCTATGATGAATGTGATTGCTGCTGTAACCCCAGATGAGGAACAATAAAGACATTTTCTATTCCACTGCCTGTAAAACAACCACAAACACACCACCGCCAGCCTCTAGTGCACATAAACAGAACAGAAAGTGGCTGCGAGGGCAACCTGACTGGGATCAGACAAACGCTTCGGTCAGTTTTTGTCATTGCGCCGCGCTCTGAGAACAAACTGCCAGGCGGCGGCCATACAATTCGGCCTTTTGTTCACATCATCTCCCAGAAGACCCTGCTGCTACTGACTCCACCCATACTGTGGCATCACATTTCTCACCTGCATAGACTGTGTATCCTCCTCACTGCTGCTACCAGGGATTCCAGTCTGCAGGTGAAGACACACCTGAAGGACAGAGTCATAATAGATCAACGTGCATCCTTGTCTGATCTTGTGTACTCACATCCTTGTGACACGAAGTCAACAATGGCGCCAGTCCTGTTCCAGTCCTAAATACGTATGATGACAAATCCACTCAGAGCTGCAGGATGTGTTCTTGCTCCGCCCATTGTGGTTTCATATCAGAAATACAATAAAGAAAAAGCTGTCTGTCATTTTGAGATTGTGTGTAAGCAGTAAAATGTGCTGTGTGTATTTGGGTTTCGCTCTTCACAGGCCTGCTAAAGGCCAATTAGTTAACACACTATCAAAATAAAAGCAGTGTAGCTCAGGTTTAATGAAAAATTACCTGTTTTCCCATTTAAGAGCAGAAATGCTGGAAATTTAGCTATTTTGAACAAGAGTGGACCAAATTTTATACAAATGATATAATAAATAATATTCATTGATTTTTGTCATTTAAGGAACAAACTAGACTTAATTTTTATGTCAGGTCATTTTTTTTACCGTAGCAATAAGCAGTGTTTGTTGCCATGACAACCGAGTACAGTTCTATTCCGAATGCGATCCTCCCGTAGAACGGACTTTCCGGTGTACCAGCCTGCAGCGTTCTTCTTAAGTACACAAGAACGTACTAGCGCCCTACGGTCAGGTAACGTCACACTCTCATACCGTAACCCACAAGGTGTCTGGATCAGAACATGCTTCAATCTGCTTTTGTCATAGCCCCGCCCCTGTGAACAGACTGCTGGGGGTGGAGCTTCAGTCGGCCTTTTGTTACATCATTTCCAGACTTAACATGTGATCACAGTTAGCGATCCAGCTTCAGACTCGGAACTAATGGTTGTTTTGTACTAAACCAAGAATTATACAACCAACTATTGTAAATAATCGAGACACACGCCTTCAGCCGTCGCCGCACAACCAGAGAAACATTACATTTAATCGCCAGGAAAAGTAAAAACCATAAACATCGGTCAATTCTGGCGGCATGGTTACGTTTTTCAACAACGTAACTATCGACAACAATAAACAACTTATCGGTGCTGTTAAACAGAGCATCTCAATGAGAACTACTTCCTAGTAGCCAGGTTGAGCGGGTTGTCCAGTAATCGGAAGGTTGCAGGTTCGATCCCGGCTCCGGACAGAGAATTCTGCTGTTGTGTCCTTGGGCAAGACACTTAACCCACGTTGCCTGCTGGTGGTGGTTGGAGGGACCGGTGGCGCCAATGCTCGGCAGCCTCGCTGCTGTCAGTGCGCCCCAGGGCAGCTGTGGCTACATTGTAGCTCATCACCATCAATGTATGAATGTGTGTGTGAATGGATGAATGATACACTGTAGTGTAAAGTGCTTTGGAGTCCTTACTCTGAGAGGCGCTATACAAGTGCGGGTCATTTATCATTAAATCTGGGTCCTCTGAAACTTACGAGCTTCCAGTTCCGAATTCCAAGTTCATTGTGTCATTCCAGCTAACTTATCTCAGAAAAACGAGTTCAGAGGACAATTGGAAGGCACCATGAAGCCTTGTTCACACTGACTGCAGAAAGAATGTGGGCCGATTTTGTACGGCTACCTTAAGATCTAAAATCATTTGGTCCAATCGGAGCATTCGCACCAGCTGCAGCGTAATACGGACGCAGAGCTCGGAGTTTCTACTCGGAGTCTAATTTTTAGCACTGCATGTGGATCGCGGAATTAAAGAAATGGCATGAGCCAGACAGGAAGTGAGACCCGTGTCTGCGATGGACATCACGTATATTCCTAAATAAAACCCACGTCATGACTTTAATGAGGTGTGCTGTTCAGTTACCTTTACAGGCTTTTCTCACACCTATTGTGTCAGATTTGTAATTGACTCAAGGATTTAGGATCTATCCAGAACCATTATGGGAGCTGATCGGAATCCCTGCCATTTACAGCAGACTGGTTCCGACCCAAAGCCTCTATGAAATCACCCGAGGAAGACCCTCATACGATTCTGTTAATCTGAATCAATCGGTGATGATGATCAATCCAACTTATCAGCTTTCAGACCAGCCCTGGGTACGTTTTTGTTACCTGGGTATCACGTGGGCTCACGTCCTGGTCCACATCCATCCCCTCGGGAAAACCCTGGTTCTGAACCTGGAAGAGAACAACCCTGGTTTTAGAACGAACCCAGAAGGTTCTCTTGGTTCTTTGTGTGAGCTGGCCTGACAGATGATTCAAAGAGCCGGGGAAACGTGAACAGATTCCCCCGGAAGTTCCCGTTTAAAACTAATCTGTTCTGTCTTATCTGCACTGAAATGCAGAACTGAACGTTCACCGAATCGGAACATCCGCTCCACCGACCGCAGCAGCCGAGCACCGTCCTGGGACCAGTAGATGTAGCATCAACTAGCATGTTAGCTTCACGCGGACAGGATCAGCCTACCAATACAGTGCTGTTTCTTCTTCTAGTCCCACCCCACCGACGGCATGACTAACAGCGCCACCTAGCACGTGGCGGACTAACAGACTCCAACCGTGTATAAATGTCAGGCTTCCAACCTATGCTTCCAACTCATGAACAGGATCCATTAGAATCAGTCAGCGGGGCGGGGCTTCCTGCACGCGCGGTTCTGTCTGTAGCACGGTCCTGTGTGTGTGTGTGTGTGTGTGTGTGTGTGTGTGTGTGTGTGTGTGTGTGTGTGTGTGTGTGTGTGTGTGTTTGTGTGTGTGTGTGTGTGTGTGTGTGTGTGTGGCACTGAATGAAAAAATCGTGGGCTCACGATTTCCCGTATGTTTTGTCTGACTAAAAGGGCTGGCTGGCATCCAATTTCCTATAATTAAATGAGTAGAAGATTGAGTTTATCGTTTTCTAATCCCACTTGTTATGTTCCATGGTGTAACGTCAAAAGGGTCAATTTTCACCTACATGCTGAGTCTGACCAACATAATAACCTTTCATCTATGGCATTAATCCACTTTCTATGTGGCCTTCCAGAACCAGAAGGTTCTGTTCAGCGAGTGGTGACCTACAGAAGACAAAACATCCAGACAAACATTCTCTCCCAAGGTCCTACACTCTCTGTGAAAGCCAGACATCAACATTCTTCACCCTAAATAAATGAAGACTCCATGATTTA